TGTGGCCCCTTGCACTTTTTATGTCACGGAGATGCTCCCTTCCTTAAACTTCATGAACCAACTTTCGGCTTCAAACTTTTATGGCTTCCTCACCAAGCTCAGCCTCCACAGAATGGAGGAGAGTTAGAGCCCTGTTCTAAGTGCTGTGTTGTGCTCTAAGTGAATGTTGTGGCTGTTTTGAACTCCTATCCAGACCACTAAAAATTTGTCCCCATACCAGCAGTACAGCTGTTTTTTTTTTTCCTTATCATTCATGTATTCATTGGAGTAGCAATTTTTAAATTCCTTCAAAAACCTTTCCTTTGCAGTCACAGGTTGGCTGTTTGTCACAAGAGGCCGAGCTTTTGGCCTGTCCTGGCTTTTGACTTGCCTTCCTCACTAAGCGTAGTCATTTCTAGCTTTTGATTTAATATGAGAGATGTGTAACTCTTTCTTTCACTTCAACACTTAGAGGCCACTGTAGAGCTATTAATTGGCCTCATTCCACTGTGACTGTGTCGGGGAGACCTGAGGAGAGGAAGAGAGACGGGAACTGCTGCTCATTGGAATAGTCAGAACTTGCGTACTTACCTTTGCTGATTACCTTCGCTATCTATAGGGACACAATTTGTGGTTCCCCAAAACAGTGACAGTAGTAACATAAGAGACCGAGATCACTGATCACCATAACAGACGTCGCAATGGAAAAGTTTGAAATGTTGCAAGGATTATCAAGATGTGATAGAGACACAAGATGAAAATGCTATTTGAAAAAGTGTGTTAAGAGGCGTCTGGGTGGCTCAGTCAGTTGAATAGCCAACTCTTGATTTCAGCTCAGGTCATCATCTCAGGGTTGTCAGACTGAGCTCCACGTCAGGCTTCACACTGAGCATTAAACCTGCTTAAGATTCTCTCTCTACTCTGTCCCTCTCCCCTGTTCTCTCTCTCTCTCTCTCTCAAATTAAAAAAAAAAAACATGTACCAATAGACTCGTTCAACCCAGAGGGTTTCACAGAAATCCAAAAAGAGCTTATCAAACTCAGCACCCTACAAAACAAATAATCCAATTAAAAAATGGGCAGAAGAGATAAACAGGCATTTCTCCAAAGAAAACCTACAGATGGTCAACAGATACATGAAAAGATGCTCAAGATCACTTATCGTCAAGGAAATGGAAATCAAAACTACGATGAGTTACCACTTCACATCTGCTAAAATGTGAATGGCTAAAATCAAAAACACAGCAACCAAGTGTTGGTGAGGATTTGGAGAAAAGGAACAAGGAACCTTTTTGCGTGGTTGATGGGAATGCAAATTGGTGCAGCCACTGTGGAAGACAGTATAGAGGTTCTTCAAAAATGGACCTACCAAATGATCCAGTAATCATACTACTGGGTATTTACCCAAAAAAATACAAGAACACTAATTCAAAGGGATACATATCCCCCTATGTTTATAGCAGTATTATTATAATAGCCAAATTATGAAAGCAACCTAAGTATCCATCAACAGATGAATATATATACATAGTCGAATATTATTCAGCCATAAAAAAGAATGAAATCTGCCATTCGCAATGACACGGATAGAGCTAGAGAGTATAATGCTTTGCAGAATAAGTCAGAGAAACAAATTACCCATATGATTTCACTCGTATGTGGAATTTAAGAAACAAAACAAGTGGGGCACTGAGGTGGCTCAGTCAGTGAAGCATCCAACTCTTAGTTTCGGCTCAGGTCATGATCTCACAGTTTGTGAGCTCGAGCCCTATTTCGCACTGTCAGTGTGGAGCCTGCTTGGTATTTGCTCTGTCTCCCTCTTTCCTGCCCCACGCCCCCTCCCCCCAGCCTACACAGTGCCTCTGTCTGCCTGTCTTTCTCTCTCAAATAAACTTAAAAAAGAAAAAGAAACGAAATGAAACGAAACAAGCAAAGGAAAAAAAAAGAGAAACCAAGAAACAGACTTAACTATAGAGAAGAAACGGAAGGTTACCAGAGGGGAGGTTGGTGGGGAGAGCAGTAAAATAGGTAATGGAGCACACTTCTTTTTTTTTTTTTTTTTTTTAATGTTTTACTTATTTCTAGGAGAGAGAGAGAGACAGCGCGAGCAGGGGAGGGTTGGAGAGAGAGGGAGTCACAGACTGAAACAGGCTCCAGGCTCTGAGCTGGCAGTCAGCACAGAGCCCGACGTGGGGCTCGAACCCACGAACCGCGAGATCATGACCTAAGCAAAAGTCGGCCACTTAACCGACTAAGCCACCCAGGCGCCCCGGTAATGGAGCACACTTCTGATGAACACAGGGTGATGTGTGGAGTTGCTGACTTACTGTATTATACACCTGAAACTGAGAGCACTGTTATGTTAACTAACAGGAATTAAAAACTTTACAAAGGGGGAGGGGGTTGCCTGGCTGGCTCAGTCGGAGCAGTGTGCAACTCTTGATCTAAGGGTTGTGAGTTTAAGCCCCACATTGGGCGTAGAGATTACTTAAAAATAGAATCTTTAAAAGGAAAGAAATGGAATGCAGTACTCTAGTGAAGACATGGTTTACACTGTGAAGTAAGTAAATGAATTAACTAATTAATGAAAATGTATCTGGGGCCGCCATGGTGTCTCAGTTAAGCTTCGACTCTTGATCTCGGCTCAGTCATGATCTGAGTTCATGAGATCGCCCCATGTTAGGCTCTGCACTTGACAGCATGGAGCCTGCTTGGGACTCTCTTTTCCCTCTCTCTGCCTTTCCCCCACCCCTCAAAATAAACATTTTTTGAAAATGTGATACTAAAATGTAAACTAACAAAAATGGACTTTATCAAAATATACTCACAAACTATTGCATTTTAAATCATGCAACTTAAACCCATATGATGTAATGCAGAAATAGAGAAACAGGTTGTTAGAACATAAAGGAGGGTCAAAGACACTTAGGTTTAAACAGGAGGTTAACTCATGATAAGGGTGTCACTTCAAGTCACGAGGAAAGAATACACTAATCAGCAAGTGATTTTGGAACAGTTGGGTTCTCTGTCTCTGGGAGAAAAGAAAGCCGAATCATACACCAAAATAAACCCTAGATGGAGGAAAGTATACCTTAACAATCACTAATTCATTTGCTCAAATAAACTTGAGGTAGGTTTGATATTTTTCAAAAAAAGAGGATCATAACATTTTGTTTCAAAATACAAATAGTTTCATTTAAGCACTATTAAGATGTTAGAGTGCATTAACACACAATATATATTTTGTTGCTTTTAGAAAAATGGGCTTATGTTACAGCTGTTGTTTTATTCTGTTTTTCCTTTGGCGGCGTATAGTGGTCCTCTCCCGATTTGTTCATGTCCAGAGCTCCATCGTCTTTCAAGGCTGTGTCGTGTAGTGTGCCATTGCACCAACAAAACATAATCTAACCGTTGCACTAGTGTTGTGTATTCAGAGGTTAGAAACGTGGAGCACTTGGGTTTTCAAAGAATGGGACCTGAAAACATCCAGAGCAATATGTGCACATCTTCCTCTGAGTCATGATTATGAAGTAGATGGGTCTCTTTCTCCACTCATTAAGTTTCTCTGAACTCTGAATTTCAGAGTTTGGCTTTCAACAACTCAGCTGGTTACTTTAAAGGAAGAAAGTAAATTTATAAGTTGTCTTAAGTGATCTAAGTAAGCTTTGTTTTGTTCCCATTTCCACCAAAATATTAGATTAGGTTTTCACTTATATAAAATTGAAAAGTAAAGTATTACATTGCTCCAGATGAGCTTTGTACAGCTTAGGGATATCCAAGTGTCCCCTGCTATCTAAGAGCAGAGTGTTCCATGGAACCTTTCATACACCAACTTGGCGTAAAGCAAAGAAGCAATACCACTAGTTTACATGGAAGAACTTTTGAGAGTTTCTTTTCAGTCTTTTCCAATACCTTAGGATGCGTCTTGCTAACAGACGCGCAACATAAATCGAGATGAAGCACGGATGCTTGCTTACATACCCAGCTCAGCAACGCCACAGCGCCACGGTGGCTTAACGCTGAGGTGCTGATGGTAGTTCCTAGGGAAGGAGCTTGGTGATACCATGCCCAGTGCTTGGAGTGCTTGCTGTAATGGCTCACTGCAAAACAAGTGTGGAATGCTATTTTTGCGTTGTGACTTTATTTATAAAAGTGAAGGTCTTTGTTTTACTTTTGGTTAGGGAAAGCAGGCACTGTTGTAGGTCTTTCATAAAAGGGAAGTGATAATAATGGGAACTTTTGAAAGGTGTGGGATACCTGTACTTAGGTATGTCCATGCATCTTCTTGTAATTATTTACTCGGAAAACTGAGGTAGTATATATTGGTAGAATAATCAGGGAAACTCTTGGGGCACTTGGGTGGCTCACTCGGTTAAGCATTCTACTCTTGACTTCAGTTCAGGTCATGGTCTCACAGTTTGTGAGATCAAACCCTGTATCAGGCTCTACGATGACGATGCAGAGCATGCTTGACGTTCTCCCTCTCTCTCTGCCCCTCCCTCCCCTCAAAATAAATATAAATATATTTTTTTAATAAATATATTTTTTAACTTAAAAATAATAACCCTGGAGATTTGTTAACTTTTGCCATTGATTGCTAGATTGTATTTTTGACAGTTTTTATATTCCCTTCTTACCTTCAAAAAAAATAAATGATGGGGCACCTGGGTGGCGCAGTTGGTCAAGTGTCTGACTCTTGATAACGGCTCATGGGTCCTGATCTCTCAGTCATGGGATTGAGCCCCATGTCAGGCACTGTGCTGACAGTGCAGAGCCTGCTTGGGGTTCTCTCTCTGCTTTTCTCTCCCCCCCTTCCCCACTCATGCATGCTTGCTCACTCACTTGCTCTCTCTCAAATAAATATCTTTTTATTCTCCCAGCAACAAAATTTTAAAGTATGTAAGGACAACTTCTTTTTCTGTGGGAAAGATTGTGCTATTGAACAGTAATGTTGAGTGAAGAAAACTGTCTCCTTTGAGACAAAATACACTCACCTGCTTCTTATATGTGTTTGTTTTACAGGCAGCACAGTCCGTGCTGATTTCCTTATTTGAACTCAATACCCCAGAGTTTACAATGTTATTAGGAGCTTTACCAAAAACTTTTCAGGATGGTGCTACCAAGCTTCTTCATAATCACCTTCGAAACACTGGCAATGGAACCCAGGTACCTTTCAGTTCTTTTGGCTGTCGTGTGACGTGATGGTTGGTTTCACTGTAATTGCTTGCTTTTACATGAAGTAAACTTTCGACCCTAGTATATTATGTTTGCATCTGTACTGGGCAGTATTTCCTAAGCAGAATTAAATATTGTCCTGGGAAGAATACGGTCCTGAGGCTTGTCACGTTTATATCATTATTTGGCGTGCATTAGGTGGGTGGTGAATGGAGGCCAGGATATGAACAGGAAAGCAGAACGTGAGCAGCTCTGCAGGCTGTTAGACTTAGGTAACTAGTCCTTGTGGGACGGCCAGAAGGGATGACTTGATTAACAGATAAGATCCGAAGAAGGTGTGTTCAGAAACCTGTTCACAGGTTTGTGTGTCCATAGTTGCTTGAATATGCAAAGTTCTGTCTGGGGAAAGTAAGGTCTGAATAAATGAAACATTATAGTGCTTTATATGCCTTCGATGGCAAGGATCATTTATATAGTATGTCTATAGAGTTGAACTTCGGTTTTTTAAAAGGACAGACCTTTTATCATGGATAAAGGAGAAACGAAATGCACTTATAGCAGGCTTAAGGTAAAGTCTGAGGGTTAAAAATAATCAGAATAATTTCTTAGGACTCAGGCTGGTCATCTTTTTGAAAGGAGAAGGAATCGTTTAATTATATCTTAACAGGCAGGCAAATTAATAACAGTGAATGTTACTTCTTTGGTATGTTTGCAAAAATCATTTGTAAAACAGACTCAAAGAGGAATAAAATTTAAGTATTAGTAATGGTTGGAGGAAGGAAATTGGCTCAGACTGGGAAGCTAATTTATTATTTTTTTTAATGTTTGTTTATTTTGCGAGAGCATGAGCAGAGCAGGGCAGAGAGAGAGGGAGAGAGAAAATCCCAAGCAGGCTCCGTGCTGCCGGTGCAGAGTTTGATGTGGGGCTCAGTCTCACAAACCATGAGATCATGACCTGAGCCAAAATCAAGAGTTGGATGCTTTGCTGACTGAGCCACCCAGGCGCCCCAAATGGGAAACTAATTTAAAATTGTTAGTTTGGGGGCACCTGGGTGACTCAGTAAAGTTAAGTGTCTCCCTCTTTTTTTTTTCTTTCCTCATAACATTTATTTATTTGTAAAAGACAGAATGCGAGGAGGGGAGGGGCAGAGAGAGAGGTAGACACAGAATCTGAAGCAGCCTCCAGGCTCTACGCTGTCAGCACAGAGCCTGACACAGAGCTCAAACTCACGGACTGCAAGACCGTGACCTGAGGTGAAGTCGGGCGCTTAACTGACTGATCCACCCAAGCACCCCAAGTATCTGACTCTTGATTTCAGCTCACGTCATGATCTCATGGTTCATGGGATTAAGTCCCACATTGGGCTCTCTGCTGACCGCGCAGAGCCTGCTTAGGATTCTATCTCTCTCTGTCTCTCTCTCTGTCCCTCCCACGCTCACATGTGCGCGCACTCACTCCCTCAAAATAAATAGACTTAAGAAACAAATTGTTATTTTGGGATCCTGTTGAATCTTTGAGGAGGAAGATGTTGATAATATTTGCGAGAAGGAAGTGGGTAAGGAAAACAAGACTACAGAGTTAGATTTCCAAATAGGGAGAAAGGTTTTCCCCACAGAAAGCAGAGATAAGGACATGAATATTTAAAATACTGACCTGCAGGGGCGCCTGGGTGGCTCAGTCGGTTAAGCGGCCGACTTCACCTCAGGTCATGATCTCACAGTTCATGGGTTCGAGCCCCACGTCAGGCTCTGTGCTGACAGCTCAGAGCCTGGAGCCTGTTTCAGATTCTGTGTCTCCTTCTCTCTCTCTGACCCTCCCCTGCTCACGCTGTCTCTCTCAGAAATAAATAAAAAACATTAAAAAATAAACTAAAATACTGACCTGCAAATACGGCTCTTTCGTACTGTTCAACTTCTCGATTGCATGTCTTCATTAAGAGCCTTTTAGTTGAGCTTACGTGTCCTATGTTAATATTTCTTGACCTCCCCCCCCCTCAGGGTTCCATGGGGAGTCCTTTGACAAGACCGACACCACGTTCACCAGCCAACTGGTCCAGTCCTCTTACTTCTCCCACCAATACATCCCAGAATACTTTATCTCCAAGGTAACAGAAGGGTTCTTCTCCATCCTGGTTTGTGTTTGCAGATTCCCATTCCTAGACAACAGACATGAATATAATTCCAGTTGATTCCCACTTGCCTTCAAAGGTCTTGACACGTAAAAACTTAGCAGATTCAAAAAAAGTTTTAGGTTTATTCCGTAACTAACCCTGCACATGAAAATAATGCATAAGATATCAGATTTTTTTTGTAAGTGAAAAGAAAACTTACTTTTGTACATTACTGCTTAATGCATTAAATGGCATAGTTATGTTTCTCAGGTATGCTTATAGACAAAAGCATAAAAATAGTGAAGAACCGGGAAAGGCTAATATAAAATGACATTATGACTGTGTCTTAGGAAAAAATGTGACTGTGAGATTGGGCCTTAATACAAAATTTAAGCTGTGTAAAATTTTCACACCCTTGTGAGGCTCAAGCACAGGCTATATTTCAGATGTTCTTCACTCATTAATGGACTAATACTTTTTTTTCCCTTTTCCTAGCTTTTAAAAAATAGTTTGCATAGGAGTCTATTTTTATTAATGTAGTTATTAACTCTATTGGCCATGTGTCATAGCGTGTTTCATCGTATTCACTACATTCATAGAATACTTCAGCATCTAAGGAAGAAAAGTACATTGCAGACTTAACATCTAGCCCATTTATTCCTCATGACACATATGTGACGATTAGATGGCTAAATTCCAGCTTCAGTTGAGTATTAGAGTTTGATTATAGAATTCTATTATAAACACATAGGCTCAGTATTAAAGCGTCTCTGCCTTCGTATAAATCTGTGTAAAATACATTTATCTTCTATTCAAGTTATGCCATTATTGTAAACGAATGTCAGGAGTTAGCAAACTTTCTGTAAAGGGCCATAAGGTAAATACTTTAGGCCTTGTTCCCTCCGCTCAGTTCTGCTGTTGCTGTGTAAACGTAGCCACAGAGAACAGCCGAATAAGTAAGTGTTGCTGGTACCGATACAGTTTTATTTATGGACACTGAAATCAGAATTTCATGTCATTTTCAGGTGTCATGAATTTCTATTTTGACTCTTCTCTCAACTGTTTAAAAAAGTAAACATTTTTAGATCTCAGGGGTCATGCTTTGCTGACCTCTGGTTAATCAGAACCTTTCTGTAGGTGCAGACAAACCGGTTGTTAAGGGCTGTGCATTCACAGTGCTTGTAAGCTGCCCTCGGTGGGTGAACAAGGGCACATGTACCTTATAGTTGTCGGGTTTGGTTCGGTTTTGCTAATTATGCTTTGGGGAATATACGTTCTCCTCCTGTCGTTATAAATATCCTATAATATCAAATGTGTATTGTGTTTTAAAACTACACGCAAATGACAGTTAGTTGTCTTTTTCATAGTGCATTTGATTATGACACAGAAAATATGAACTCTGAAGATATTTATAGCTCTCTCAGAGGGGTCACTGAAGCAATTCAGAATTTCAGCTTCCGCAGTCAGGAGGACATGAACGAGCCATTGAAAAGGGACTCCAAAAAGGAAGATGGTGATTCTGTGAGTATCTGAATACCCTTACACTGCAGGCTTTTTCAATAAGAGGCTTCCGTTGGAGATTTCTTTTGTTGACTTTGCTTCCTGTCGTTTTCAGGTGTAACTTTTTAGGGGTCACTCTACAAGTGTTCCCTGAGCATCTACCACGTGTCGGCCCTGTGCCGGCCTTATACGCACAAGGCACAGTCACTGCCCCCAAGTTCCATGTACATTTTCAGATAGAGAGGAGTACTATTGACTGTTAGGTTAGAAGATAAAATGAATGTATTTTTTTAATGTTGGTTTATTTTGAGAGTTCACAAACACGGGCAAGCCGAAGAATAGCAGAGAGAGGAGGAGAGAGAGAATCCCAAGCAGGCTCCATGCTGTTGGTACAGAGCCCAGCATGTGGATAGATCTCAAATCATGAGATCACGACCTGAGCCGAAATCAGGAGTTGGACACTCAACCAACTGAGTCACCCAGGCGCCCCAAAGTGAATCTCTTTGAAATTAATTGGTCAGGGAAGACCTCTCTTAGTAGGTGACGTACAAGACCTAGGAGAGGAGAATTCCGTAAAAGAAGTGGCATCGAGACGCGAACAGGGCGTGCGCAGCTGGGAACCAAGAGAGAGGCGGTGGCGTTGGATTGGATGGAGGAGTCGGGCGGGGCGTGGGCCATGTCATATGGGTCTCTTAAGACTAAACGGGTGCAGATTTTTCGTTTCCCCTTAGTGCAGCAGTAGGGGTTTGCATCATCACTTTGTGTGGCTCCAGTTAAGAGTGTTAGGGCCTGTTTTTCTGACCTGCGTGATCACTGCTCGGTCTGTTCATACAGAGAGCAGTTGTTTGGGGTGAGGGAAAGGAACAGAAAGAGCAGTTGTTTCTTACACGGCCGCTGCATAGACTTTTCTCAAAACAAGCTGCCCCACCATTTCCCATGGAGTCTGCAGTGTCTCAGCGTTTGCAGAATCGTCCAGCGCGCCGCTGAAGGGGCCTCCTCTGCCTCCTGACCACTTTGCCGCTGTGGTTCTTCCCCCACGCCTGTCTGGCAGGTGGGCCAGAGCCAACTCTCCACTCCTCTTTGAGGTTCCCCACCCCAGAAGCAGTAGCGGTTTAGTTAGAATCACTGCTTGGGACTTTGTTCCCTCAGAGAAAGCAGGTACAGCGTGGGGCGCTCCAGCAGGCTTCCGGCAGGAGTGACTTCACACCCCAGCCCCTGGCCGACGTTAACTAGTCCCGTTGTATTATCACTTCTGACCCTCAGTGTTTCCATGAGGAAAGTGAGCCAATTGCTGTGTACCTTGAGAGTTGTTGTGGCCCTAATAAATTATATGGCTCTATCCAGCCCAGGCCTCTCTCTGGAGCTCATACTCCTACATCCAGCTTCCTGTTGAACTTCTAATCTCCTCCCGAAGCTGCTCCTTTCCGTTGCAGCTGATAGCACTAGTCACTTAGCCAAAAACCTTGGACCAAAGGCATCTAACTGGCCTCCTTGATTCTGCCTTTGACCTCTTGTCATCTGCACACCTCCACTTACAACTCTATGGAAGGCTCCAGAATACAAGCCAATCTACACAATCGGCTTTTTCCCTGTTAACTTTTCTGGTCTCATCTCCTACTACTTTCCTCCACTCCAGCCACACTGGCTTCCTTGCTGTTCCTTGAACTTCCTAGGCATGCTCTTGCCTCAGGGCCTTTGTCTTGGCCATTCCCTGTGTCTTAAACACCCTTCCTGGCTGATCTCCTTCAAGTCTGTGTTCGCATGGCTTACCCCGACCCCCCTAGCTAATCTGCACTTGCCTCCCTCCACCCCACCGCTCACAGTCCCTTTAATACTGCAACGCCGCCCACACACTGATCCCTTCGCACCACACTATCTACTCAGTTGTTACATGTGGTGACGTCTGTCCCCCAACTAGAATGTAAACTCCGAGAAGGTGGACAGCCTTCTCTTTTGTCCATTAGTATCTCCCCCCTGCCAAGAATGAAGCCTGGCAAACAGTAGGTACACAGTGACTATTTGAAGAATATTTGTAAAGCACCTGAGTGACGGCTTAGCAGTAGTTGCTTTGAGTAGACGGTGGTGATGGTGATGCTGGTGGGCGTGACGAGTGGCACACTAGCATTTGTAGCGGGGTCAGCACCGGCGTTCTGTGTAAGTATGCTAATGTGTTCAGGCTCCAGCAGGCATCCTTGCAAAAGTTACAGTCTTTGAGGCCTTTTGAAAAATGTTTTGATTCTTCTTTTAAATTGATTTTTATTTTTATTTTTTTTTAATGTTTATTTAGTTTTGAGAGAGAGAGAGACAGAGCATGAGCATAAAGGGACAGAGAGAGGGAGACACAGAATCCGAAGCAGGCTCCAGGCTCTGAGCTGTCAGCACAGAGCCCAACGCGGGGCTCAAACACACGGACCGTGAAATCATGACCTGAGCCGAAGTGGGACACTCAACCAACCGAGCCACCCAGACAGTCCCCCACCCTTTGTTTTTGAGAGAGAGAGAGAGAGAGAGAGAGTGCACGTGCAAGAAAGAGAGCAGGGAAGAGGAAGGGGAGAGAGAGAATCCTAAGCAGCTGCATGCCCAGCATGGAGCCTGATGCAGGGCTAGGTGCACCCCCAAAATTTGATTCTCTTATACTTTGTTGATATCCTGTCATTGTGTAATTTACTACCTTAATAATGGAATCTGGCAGGTTTTAGTTCTGTGTTGGTAATGAAAGTCCTTTTATTACTTTAACTGGCAGAGAGAGTTGTAATCCCAATGAATATTTTTTGGTCAAGCCCTTAGCAAGGGGACTCTCGGAATCATGAGAAATGGCATTCTTTTATGGTTCTTTTTTTTTTTTTTTTAATATTTTTATTTATTTCTAGGAGAGAGAGAGAGAGACAGCGTGAGCAGGGGAGGGTCAGAGAGAGAGGGAGACACAGACTCTGAAACAGGCTCCAGGCTCTGAGCTGGCTGTCAGCACAGAGTCCGATTCAGGGCTCGAACCCACGAACCGCGAGATCATGACCTAAATGAAAGTCGGACGCTTAACCAACTGAGCCACCCAGGCGCCCCGCTTTTATGGTTCTTCATTGCTCCCACAGCTGTGGGTTTTGTTTTCTGTTGTTGTTGTTTTGTTTTTGTTTTTTTACACCTTTACTATAAGCTTTGACATTTTGATTATATGTTATAACTCCTCACGTTGATTACTTTGAAGCAATAGAGAAACATCGTTTTAGAATTTCAAAGAGATATTTAAAAATGAATTGATTTGCTGTGCCTTCTCCTCCCCCTTCATAGATGTGTGGCGGTCCCGGGATGCCCGACCCCAGGGCAGGAGGGGATGCTGCTGACTCAGGCCAAACATCCCTTGACAATAAAGCTTCATTGCTGCATTCGATGCCTGCGCACTCCTCTCCACGCTCGCGGGACTATAATCCGTATAACTATTCCGACAGCATCAGTCCCTTCAATAAGTCTGCCCTCAAGGAAGCCATGTTTGACGACGACGCCGACCAGTTTCCTGACGGTAGGTTCTGGGTCATGTTTGTCACCGGTGCTTTCGAGTGCTGGTAATCAGTGGAACAAAAGCAATATACGTGCTCTTTGATTTAAGTCCCTAAGAAGTCAGGAGCTTCAGAAGGGAAGATGTTTTCTCTCATCTCTAGGAGCTCATTCCTAGCAGTTTGGTAGTTTTCTGCCCCAGAATGAGACACCGGGTAATCCTGAAATCATCCCCGACATCAGGAGAACCAGACTGACTGCCCAGAAACAACTGAAATCAGTCATAGCTTATAAATATAGTTTATCTATAGACCCAGTGCAGTCATTAATTTTTATACCAGTGTGACAAAAGCCTTTGAAGAACTGCTCATTCTTTGTAAGAGCCCTTTCATGAAGTGGGACATCATAAGCTCTAATAAGATGCATTCAAGACCAAGTGTGGAGAAAGTTACCATTAGAATTTGAAGTCAACTTAGGACTAACTTGAGCACTTCCAGTGGCTTGGACATCTACGGAGCTGTGACGCCTGATACGTGGTTAACTGTTCTCAGTGTCACTTCTGAAGGAAGCTGGAGATATACTCCCGACCCGCCCTTCCACTCACAGTGTGCAGCTAGGTTCACGTAAGATGTACAAAAACCAATGCAAAGTACAAAACACTGCAAATGGGTTATAAGTATCTTTAATGAGAAGGAATTACATTTTTCTCTACAAATTACATAATTCATTAACTTTTTATTGGAGACTCAAGTAAGGTAAAGTAATAGATCACTGTATGTGTGTAGGTTTGAGAATCCCCCTCACCATTCGTACGGTATTATACGTAGGTAGCTCCTCGCCTCCCTGCGCTCTCCTGTTGCTGTCTGTGAACATGTTTCTGCATAAACTTTTCTGCATGTGTGTAAGTAATTTACTCTGAGATTCTAGATGTAGGATTGCTTGATAAAGGGACATCTGAGTTGAAGTTTCAGCAGTTACCATCCAGTTACTGACTCGGAGCACTTGGCTGGGTTAGGTGTGGTGCTGATTTCTTCACCAGCACAGAGTATTCAAACCTTTTAACATTTTGTCACCATGATGCATACAAAATAGGTTATCCTAATGATAGCATTTCCTTAATTATTAGAAAGATTGAGTAATTAGATATCTGCAATCTTTTTTAACTTTTGTAATTTGGTAAGTGGAAAAATATCTTCTTCATTTTTATTTCTTTGATTACCAATCAGGTTGACGGATCATGTTTTTACCAATATGTCATGTTAAGAGTCTTAATACATCAGGGCGCCTGGGTGGCTCAGTTGGTTAAGTGTCTGACTTTGGCCCAGGTCATGATCTTCTGGTTCATGGGTTTGAACCCTGCATCGGGCTCTCAGGGCGCCTGGGTGGCTCAGGTTAAGCATCCGACTTCGGTTCACGTCATGATCTTGCAGTTTATGGGTTTGAGCCCCGCGTCGGGCTCTGTGCTAACAGCTCGGAGCCTGGAGCCTGCTTCAGATTCTGTGTCTCCCTCTCTCCCTGCCCCTCCCCTGCTCACACTCTGTCTCTCTCTGTCTCAAAAATAAACAATAAAAAAAGTTTTGTTAATAATTAAAATTTTTTAAAAAGAATCTTAATATATCTCAATTATCACAAAAACAAAATTAAGACAACTTGCCAAACTAAATCTGAATTACAGAAGAATCTATAAATTGCCAAAATGATTGCTTTTGGTGTGTTTTGATCTGTCCCACATGTCTGGCTCTATTGCTGAGGGTTAGTTGTGGCAGCAAAAGCAGAGGGAGTGCACAGAACGTAGTGCGAGCATCCGTTCATCCCTGCGAGGGCCCGGCAGCCTGGTGAACTGAGGCCTGCAGGCCTGGCAGCTTTATTCTTAAATTACTTATGTACAGTGGTCACACGCTTGCAGACCAAATTGGGTCCACAGACATTTCTTGCCTCAGCTGCAATTTATGTATATTTTTTAATTTTAAAGCAATCGAAAGCTTACCAAATGAAGGTACAGCAGAAAGAACTTTTTCTTGGCCCTCTTGAGAGTAAGCCTTGGAACTGATGCTGCATCACCCCCAAATACTTGAGGTTCACTCCCCTTAATCAGACATCTCCACGTGACCGCAGTATCCTCCTCCAAGCCGGGTGACTGTCACCAGTGCATTCAAAACCACCCATCCCTTACACCCTTCGAGTTGGGTCACCCATCCCAGTGAGAGTGCCTTTAGCCAGAGGGCCCACTTCAGAATCTCGTGTGGCGTTTCCAGGTCTCTGTGGTCTCTTCAGGGAGTGGCGCTAGTGAAGCACAGTTATATTTTCATATTTCCCTCAGTTTGGGTGTGTCTGATGTTTTCTCGTGATTGGATGCAGGCCATGCACTCTCGACATCAGCATCCCAGCGTGCGTTCTTCGGGTAATAAATGGTTTCACTTTGCCCTGTGGCTGCTGATAGAAACTTGTATCACTTGATCATGCTGGTGCTTACCAGGCTTCTCCCCCACAAAGTTACTCTTTTTATAAGTGCTTGGGTCACCTGGGTGGCTCAGTCGGTTAAGCGTCCGACTTCAGCTCAGTTCGTGATCTCATGGTTCGTGGGTTCGAGCCCTGCGTCGGACTCTGTGCTGACAGCTCAGAGCCTGGAGCCTGCTTCAGATTCCGTTCCCCGCCCCCCCCCCCTCCCGCTTGTGTCCCTCCCATGCTTATACCATGCCTCTCTGTATCTCAAAAACGAGTAAACATTTTTTTTAAAAAAGTATAATAAGTAAGTGCTTTGTAGGGTGGTACTTTAAAACTGTGTTGAAATGTATTCATTTAAAAAGTTTCATTTGTGTATTTATAATTATATGAACTCATGGTTTGCATTGTACTCGGGTTATAATTTGTAATATCATTTACTTTGATGCTCATATCGTCTTTGGTTGGACCTGTTCCTTTGACAGTGTCCCCATCTTTGCATGCTGGCTTGACAAAATGTTGTATGGTCCCTGCTGGAGTCTTGGAATCAATCGTTTCTCCAGGACTCAATCCTTGGTTTCATTTACTAGAAAATGGTCATTAAAGGCTAGAGTCTGGGCTGTACGTGTTCCCGCTGCTGGTGGGATATCACTCCTCCTAAGCCCTCTTAGTGGCCAGAGCCAAGGGAATACATATATGTATGTCTATATATGCGCACACAAGAGATTATTCTAGTTTCCTACTTTTCTGTATGGACAACCCCCTTTTTCTGACACTGAGAAACCTGGCTTTCCTTATCTTTAATATATTTACTTACTTGATCAATCTTCCTGTATGCAGCCAGTTTTCCGTCTCTGCCCCTCTCTCCTCTCTCATACATCATATCCCTCACCTCTCCGGTGGGCTCTGCCTGTCCACATGGATACCCTCAAACCCCTTGGGCTGACACCCAGTGTCATCAAGGCCCTGACAGGGTCACACGTGGTCACCACTCTACGTGGACCCCTTCTTGCCCTGGCTGAGCACTGAAATTTCATACTTGACCATGGTCAGGTAGGGAAACCCTGCTTACACTGCTCAGATATCTGTGTTCCCAGACCTGGTCATCTGTAGCTTTGACGAATGGAAAAATCTCTTCATTTATGAGGCTGAAGAATTATGTTTTTGCCAATTGCTCAAGTTAAGAGAGTTAATATTATCACAAACCCAAAATTATGAAGTTTGGCAAGATTATCCACTAATCTTGTCTAATTCTCTTCCCTTTACTAAAGACCGTATATTTTCCATTTGTTAAAGGAGGACATCTTTGGAAATTATATAACTGAACTCTAAACCGGGTGGAATATTTTTGAACTTGAAGAAATTATTTCTTCACAGCACTTGATTGACTTCTGAAACATAAGACAGCCATTCTACGCCAATTAAACACTCTCTGGAAATGGATAAGCAGTTAAACCGAATAGTAGTTGCTCTAAGCTTCATATAGCAGTTATTTTCATTTATTGTCTATGTTCATTTTTAAATTTGAGATGGGGAAGGCCTTGTTTGACACTACTTTATTGTGAACATTGCTAACATTACCCATTCCTTTTAATTTAAGTCAATTTCTATAAAAAGAAATTGTTTTTAAATTCTGAGGCTTATTTAATAAGAAATTCTGAGGCTTAGTTAATAAGAAATTAAATTCTTATTTAGTATGTCTCTTATTCAGATATTGTGTACACATTACAGATACATTAGTGATAAATTTACCAAGATTAACATGTCAAATAAAACTAAAACCCCACTCATGTCCACATAACCTTTATGAAGTTTACCAGAGACCGTAAAATTCCAGAATATTACTGCTGGTGAGGACGATACTGTTACTCAAGGGATACTCATGTCAAAGTTTGCCAGTGAAAAGAATATCCCATATTCAGCACTGCAACAGAAATCGTATCAGAATTGTAATTGTGCCAGTATTTGTCAGAAGGACACAAGGAAAACTAATATTAGGGAGTTTATTGTATTCCAGGCCCAGGCCCAGGAAGTCGGGGCTCTTTTCCCATTTTCCCAAGGAAACAGCGCCTCCACGGTAACTGAGAACGTACCTCTGTCACACAAAGGGTCAGAGAAGCAGGTCTGGTGGGTGCCCAGAGCCTTATCTTTTCACGTGACCCTGGTGTCTGTCTGTGAGAAGAGGAGACACAGCTGGTTTTACTTTATCTTAATTAATTGAGTAATTTAGGCTTATCTCATTTATTTGTATGATATAAATAGTTCATTTTTGTAACAAAATAATGTGCTTCCTTTGGCAAAAATGATTTTCTCATCAGTCGTCTGTCCAGACCGTTTTAGCCATTTCTAATTATCTCCTAGTGTAATTAGGAGCCTAGATTTGTGGAGAAAAGAGCTGCATTCCCCGGAAAGCATTTTTGTGTGCGTGACTTCCCTTTACTGAGCTGAAATAAACTATACTGTTACCAGACCAATCCTCCGTGCAAGTCCCGTAACATTTGCGGGAGCGGCGTTGGCGAGGCTCACAGAGAGGCACTTGTCCTCCTCCGGGAGCCCTGTTAAGCTCGAGGTCCTGTCCCAGCACTGGGCTACGGAAGTGTCGTTATTGGGCACCGTTTTCATCCTACAAGTTCATCCTCAACTCAGATTTCTTTCCTCATGGTTTGCTCTGCATTTTACAGACGTTCTTCCCCTTGAGCTTCCAAAGTGCTAACTTGGTTCACCGTAGTGGTCATTCTTCTCACGTTGTCTGAAAGTTTTAAGTTCAGTGATCACATTGTATGCGCCCTGTACGATGCTGGTGTTCCAGTTGTAATTCCATGAAAGTTGTCACAGTAAACTCTTTTTTGTAATAGTTAATGTCATTATTTTGGTTCAGTTTTCCTTCCCTATCATCTGTTAGTTTTACTCTGTTGAACTCCTCTATTCTAATGGTTCAGCTTGACTACCTTTCTCAGGTTTCTGAATCCCCTTAAGTAAAATATAATTTTTCTTGGGGAGCCTGGGTGGCTTAGTCAGTTGAGCATCCAGCTCTTGATTTTGGCTCAGGTCATGATCCCTCACAGTCGTGAGATGGAGCCTCGCTTCGGGTTCTGTGCTGGGTGTGGAGCCTGCTTAAAATTCTCTCTGCCCCTCCCCCACTTATTCTCTCTGTGTCTGTCTATTCATCTCCCCCCTCCGCTCAAAAAAAAAAAAAAAAGATTGATGGAGAACTTTACAGTGGTAGGATCAAGTTGTCACTACTTAAATATGTTGGTCATTATTGATACCACTAAAAATGGAGTGCCCTTGGGCGCCTCCTGGCCTGACACGATAGAAATGCATACTGGTGTACAGAAAGGGAGAATGATGTATTTGCCCTTTCCTAGAAATATTTCACAAAAAAATGGTAGGGAGGAAGATGAAGTAAGAATGGTAAAATCTTGATAATTATTAAATCTAGGTGACAGGTATATGGGAGTCCATTATATATTTTCTCTGTGAATTTTTATTGTAAAAAGTTTTCATCTATAACTGATGGGTTCAGCATAACCAAATGGAAAAGAAAATTAGTCCTTTTTTCCCTTAAAACTAAAGTTAGCATCCCCATACTTACAAGAGTTACAGAATTAATATGTCCCCTTGACAGATCTTTCCCTTGACCATTCTGACCTGGTTGCGGAGTTGTTGAAGGAGTTGTCTAACCATAATGAACGTGTAGAGGAAAGAAAAATCGCCCTCTATGAACTCATGAAACTGACACAGGAAGAGTGTTTCAGTGTTTGGGATGAACACTTCAAAACAATATTACTTCTGTTGCTCGAAACTCTTGGGGATAAAGAGGTAAATGGCGGCATATGTAAGTAATAGCCTGTTTTTCCTGTTGGATTGCCTCTCGTTGCCTGCTAATCAAGCGCTACACAGATTTGTAAACTGAGAAAAGCGGCCTCTTTTACTGCTTCTTCCTGTGTGAAATTTTCATTATGTTTACTTTTTCTCTTAAACCAACAGCTCAGTTGATTTTGAACAGTTGACAGTGGGAGAAACGAAAGGGAGCTGGGAGTATTTGTATAGGAGAGGACTTGTTTCGCGTATTTACACTAGTTCAGAAATAAAATTTCCTTTCTCATAGAATGTTGGTTCTTGATCCCCTACAAGTGAAAACTCAGTTATGTAATACTCCGTGTCCTTTGTGCCGCTGTCTACAACTTACCCCTGCCCCAACGTTAGGACCCTTACGTTACAGAAATGGAAAATGTAGTAGATTGTCTACAACCCAAGATACTAACAACATTAAAATATTTCTTCTTAGCCTACGATCAGGGCTTTGGCGTTAAAGGTTTTGAGAGAAATCCTAAGGCATCAACCAGCCCGATTTAAAAACTATGCAGAACTGACAGTCATGAAAACATTGGAAGCACACAAAGACCCTCATAAGGAGGTAAGTTACCTAACGTTTAAGTTACTATTTTCTTCTTGGAGCCTCTGATGGTGCTGCATGGACCCTACAGACAGTGCTTGCAGAGTACCCTGGAGAGTAGCAGTCACTTCCATCAAATGAGCCCTTAACTTCGCTGTCCCATGTAAAGCTGATGGAGATGCAGTTGTATTTTTTCTATTAAATGAATTACAGTGATATCATGGCCTTTCCCCTAGTATCAGCCAGCTCTGGAAATAATCTTGATTTCACTTTCTCCTTCATTTGCCTTGTAGTTTTCTACTTAGAATTCACCACCCTTCTCTTTCCACTCACCAATAAGCATTTGGGTTTTTGAGATAACTAATGAAGACAAGAATCATTATTTTAAAGTGGTAATAAATTGCCTCTGGAAACTAGATATCTGTTAAAAGTTTATTCAATAAAATGATGAGGCTAGCTTTTCTGAAAGTCCTATAAGTCTATCTCTCATGTGTATTTACAGTTGTGTAAAAAAAAAAAAATTGGGGGGACTTTTTTTTTTTAATGTTTTATTTATTTCTAGGAGAGAGAGAGAGAGAGAGAGAGAGAGCGTGAGCAGGGGAGGGCCAGAGAGAGAGGGAGTCACAGACTGAAACAGGCTCCAGGCTCTGAGCTGGCAGTCAGTACAGAGCCCGACTCGGGGCTCGAACCCACTAACCGCGAGATCATGACCTAAGCGAAAGTCGGACGCTTAACCGACTAAGCCACCCAGGCGCCCCGGGGGGACTTTTTAAGTTTGTATTTAAACTCTAGTTAGTTAACACAGTGTTATGAGTTTCGGGTGTGCAGTATAGTGATTCAGCACTTCCATACATTCTCCGTGCTAATCACAAGTACACTCCTTAGCCCCCATCCCCTAGTTCCCCAACCCCCACCCACCTCCCCTCTGGTGACCATCAGTTTGTTCTGTAAAGAGTCTCTTTCTTGGTTTGTCTCTCTCTCCTGTCTTGTCTCTTTTTATTCTTTTTTAAATTTATTTTATGTTTTTATTTATTATTGAGACAGAAAGAAACAGAGCTTGAGTCAGGGAGGGACAGAGAGAGAGGGAGACACAGAATCTGAAACAGGCTCCAGGCTCTGAGCTGTCAGCACAGCGCCCGTGCGGGGCTTGAGCCCACGAACCGTGAGATCATGACCTGAGCTGAAGTCAGACGCTTAACCGACTAAGCCACCCAGGCGCCCCTGTCTCGTCTCTTTTTAGTCACAGTATTTCTGCTATCTTCAGTGACATTGATAAGATAACCAGGAGGATTTTTATTAAGTCTCAGACGTAATTAAAAAAGGAAATTTCAGGGGCAGCCTGCAATTCTCAGAGAAAGCACCAGAGCGAGCAGTAGGTGTCTCTGGTGGGACCAGGACATAAGCAGAAGTCAAAACAGAAAAGTTAGAAAACTGCAGTGAGACAAAATGGATCAAAGCCAAATGAAAGAGCTGAAACTAAAACTTCCAGAAGAAAGCATGATTGTAAATCTTAGTAGGGGTGCCTGGGTGGCTCGGTTGGGTATCTGACTTTGTCTCAGGTCGTGATCTCACGGTTCACGGGTTCGAGCCCTGCGTTGGGCCCTGTGCTGACAGCTCAGAGCCTGGAGCCTGCTTCGGATTCTGTGTCTCCCTCTCTGCCCCTCCCCCACTCATGCTCTGTCTCTCCAAAATGAATAAATGTTAAAAAAAAAATTTTGGTGATGCCTGGCTGGCTCAGTGGGCAGAGCATGCAACTTTTAATCTCAGGCTTATAAGTTCAAGCCCCACGTTGGATGGTGATATTACAAAAAAAAAAATATATATATATATATATATATATATATATATATATTTTTTTTTTTTTTTAAATAAAAGGGCACCTGGGTAGCTCAGTCGGTTAAACGTCTGACTTCGACTCAGGTCATGATCTCACAGTTTGTGAGTTCAAGCCCCGCATCGGGCTCTGTGCTGACAGCTCAGAGCCTGGAGCCTGCTTCAGATTCTGTGTGTCTCCCCTTCTGTCTCTCCCTCCCCTGTTCATGCACTGTCTCTCTCTGTTTCTCAATAATAAATGTTAAAAAAAAATTTAATAAATAAATAAAAATAATTAAAAAAACTACTACTTCAAAGGGCACCATAAAAAAAGTAGAATATTCAACCCACAGAATGGAAAATTTTTGCAAATCATATGTCTGATGAGGTAATATATAAAGAACTCTTAGAATTCAACAGAAAGAAATAACTCAATTTAAAAATGGGCAAAGGACCTGAATAGACCATTCACCAAAGAAAATATGTAAATAGCCAATAAACACATGAAAAGATGCTTAGTATTGGTACTCACTCGGAAACTACAACCAAACCCACAGTGAAATACCACTTTATACATACTAGGAAGAAGGACAGTGAGAAGTGTCAGTGAGATGGGGCGCCTGGGGGGCTCAGTCAGTTAAGCGTCCAACTCTTTGGGTCAGGCCGTGATCTCAAGGTGTGTGGGTCTGGCCTGGGTAGGGCTCCACGCTGACAGTGCAGAGCCTGCCTGGGATTCTCTCCACCCCGCCGCCCTTTCCCCACTCACATGCATCCTCTCTCTCTCAAAATGAATAAATAGACTTAAAAAAAAAATTGTTGGTGAGGATGCAGGGGCCTCTGGCTAGTTCAGTCGGTAGAGCAGGCAGCTCTTGATCTCAGGACCATGAGTCCGAGCCCCATCTTGGGTGTAGAGATAACCTTAAAAAAGAAGTGTGATGAACATTTGAAGAAATTGAAATCCTCTGGGTAATTGACTTTTCAGAAGATATGACTGTGAGTCTTATAGGAGAGTGAGTTATAACTTTTAAATCTATATGGATTTTTATTCAAATTTTTTTTTTTTATTCAGCTGGTGTTTAGCAGTAGTGGAACATGTATAGAATCTTGCTGAAGTTTTAAAAACCTAGTATTTGTGGTTTGGCTATCTACCTTCTGACCCAAATAAGACCTGGAATCCCTATTTTTACAAAAGATAAAATCAACATTCTTAAGGAGTTACAGCTACAATTAGCCCTCGGTCTATGAATGTATTAGCCACTGTCCCATTCTTTGTCCTGCTCATAGATTGGGATCCTAAGTGAGAAACTACTAAAGTAGAATCAAAACCAATAATTTTGACGTGGTCTCAAGACCATCTTTAGAGCTGGTGGATCCTAAGATGGACAACCATTTCTCGTCTTCATTGCGGAATTGGTGTCTTTCTCCTCGAGCCCCATGCAGAAGGAGAGAAAATCATTATGAACAGGAGGAGGGATAGCATGTTCACTTGATAACCTAATGAGAGTTTTTTAATTTTATTTTGTAATAACGTGATGAAGAGAGCACAGACGCTCCTGGAGTTGAGGGGACTGGTAAGGAGCAGGGTCTCAGCTTGGCTGCTGCAGGGAGTGCCATGCACATCATAGTCCTGGTAGACAGAGCCTCCACCGCCAGCCAGCTGGACTGCGGTGCCATTTAGAGAGTGCATTAGCCAGGGCGCCGGCGGCTCAGTCGGTTGAGCATCTGACTCTTGACTTCGGCTCTGGTCATGATCTGACAGTTCATGGGTTCAAGCCCCGAGTCAGGCTCCATTCTGAGAGCACAGAGCCTGCTTGGGATTCATATTCTCTCTGTCTCTCTCTCTCTCTTTCTCTTTCTTCTTCTTCTTCTTCTTCTTCTTCTTCCTCCTCCCCTCCCCCCCCCTTCTGGCTTCAACAGTTACATTTTGACAATCCTGTTTTATCTGTACTGTCACTCTTTTGTGTTTGTTTGCTGTTGTATTTTCAGAGCAAATTGTAGATCTCCTGGGGCGCCTCGGTGGCTCAGTGGGTTAGGCATCCGACTTTGGCTCAGGACATGATCTCACAGTTCATGAGTTCAAGCCCTGTGTTGGGTTCTGTGCTGCTCAGAGCCTGCTTTGAATTCTCTGTCTCCCTCTCCCTCTGCATCTCCCCTACTCCTTCTCATTCTCTCTCAAAAATAAACATTTTTTAAAATTGTTTTTAATTATAGAGATCCTATCGCATTTCATATTTCATGAAGGCTGTGCTTCCAGGATACAGTATAATGTTTTTAAAATCCGTTCCCAACTTACACTTCTCCTTGCTGCAGGTGGTGAGGGCCGCTGAGGAAGCAGCGTCAGTGCTGGCCACTTCCATCAGCCCGGAGCAGTGCGTCAAAGTGCTCTGTCCCATCGTCCAGACCGCAGACTACCCCATTAACCTGGCTGCGATCAAAATGCAAACAAAAGTGATCGAGAGAGTGTCCAAGGATACCCTTAACCTGCTCTTGCCAGAGATTATGCCGGGCTTAATACAGGTAAGAACCCACGCTGGGAGGGATATGCTGTCCTACATTCGGGATTTGGTTATTTTAGGCACTTTCCAGGCACCATGAGCGGCGTAATCAAGCCTTCCTGCTGTCCTGGATGTTCAGGACAGAGACCTTGCATCACTAGCTCTGTGTGTGTGTGTGTGTGTGTGTGTGTGTGTGTAATATATACATAACCTACAATTCACCACTTGGCCGTTTTTAAGTGTGCGACTCATTGGCATTACACACGTGCGTGCTGGATGCAGCCACCACAGCTGCCCGTCTCCAGAACACACTTCTTCACCCTCCGAGGGAACTCTGTCCCCATTAATTCATAATTTCCTGTTCCGTCCCCTCAGCCCCTGGTACCTTCTATTCTACTTCCTCTCTTCTGCTTTCTAGGTTCTTCATGTAGATGGAATCACGCAGTCTCTGTCCCGTGGTGGCGGGGGCGTGTTTCACTTAAAATAACGTTTTTAGGGCTTATCGTGTATAGCGTGTATTAGAATTTCATTCCTGTTTTGTGGCTAATCTCCAGGTATGAGAATACCACAGTTGGTTTATCTATCTCTTCTGATGAATCCATATCTTCTGATGAATATGTGGATTGTTTCCCTATTTTTACTAATATAAATATTGCAGTGAACTTCTTTATAACCTCTTCTCAAACTTATATGTTTATATCTAGAAGTAGAATTCCTAGGTGTTGGCAGATTTATCTCCAAAATGGTTACACTAATTTACAGTCATAGATGTGATGTGGGTTTTTTTCTATGCACGCAAACCTATCCACATAAACATTTTAATGGCGGGATATTTTATAACCTCTGCTTAATCATAAATTGTTAACTTTTCCATCCAAGAAATTGTATTCTCTAATGTAATTTTATTGATTAGAATCACATAGTGTATAACTCTCCTGAAGAGAATTATTCATTTCTTTGTGCATCTATAGTATTATCTTTGACTCTGTTCTGAGGCCAGTATTGCTCACTAAATTGTGTGGTCCTTGAAGGTTAGATCCAAATCTCTTTATTTCTCTGTCCTTTGGTACGAAGAACAGAATGTACATAGTACGTGTATATCATACATACGGTGGCTACTGATTCAGTGTTTTGTTGGGCGGATAACTTAGAGTAATGGTAGGGATGGGACAGACGTCGAGCTTAATTCAGCCCGGATTATAGGAGTGCCCTGACTGCCAGGCCCAGTTTTACTCCAGTTTAGGTTTTTTTCCAGTAGTGGAGCTCTCGCGGGCTCCCTGCAGCTGAGCGCTTTAGCAAGGTGCATCTGGAGACTTCGCAGGGCAGGCCAGCAAAGGGCTCCCTTCCAGGCTGCACAAGGTAGACCCTGAGACGGAAAGCCAACAGTGGAGCGGAGGTGCCGCAGGCCCGGCAGAAGGACAGAAGGGCACGTTTCTGCCAGAAAAGGTGGAGGCGTCAGCGTCAGTCATGAAGGCTGCTTCTCCCTGGTGTGCCGGCGACCCTGTCCCCAAGCCACGTCTGCTGTCCCTGTCGGAATGGGACTTTCTCAGACTCCCAGAAGTGCTAACCAGGACTTTTCTGCCTAGGGTTACGACAATTCAGAGAGCAGTGTTCGGAAAGCTTGTGTCTTCTGCCTGGTGGCTGTCCACGCGGTGATTGGTGACGAACTAAAACCCCATCTCAGTCAGCTCACTGGCAGTAAAGTAAGTAGCAGCGCTTCGGCCTAAAGGTGGCAGCGGCGGCACACTTTTCAAAATTTCGGTCTTTAGTCCTTTCTTGTGTTAAAGGGTAGATTTGTGTTCAGCTTTGAGTAGCTGGCCCATTCCCCCTACTGTCAGAATTGTAACTATTTCCGTGTTCGCCCGGGTCACAGGGGCCAGTTGGTGGGGTGTGTTGGCTGTGAAAGAAGTGCCGACGGTCGGCTGACTCCTCTCCAGCCCCCGCCCCTAGATTGTGCCCCCCCAAGACAGTTCCAGAATACATAGTGGTCATGTGTTCCTGGGTTGCTTTATGACTCCCAAAGTGCGGAACGCTTCTTGAAGTCTCCCCTATGGACTCTGGTGACCCAGTATGTGCCATCATAAGACATAAAATCCAGGAGCCCCTGGCCGGCTCCGTCAGTGGAGCCAGTGACCCTTGATCTCAGGGCTGTGCTGTGCAGCCTCACGTTGGGTGTTGAGATTACTTAAATAAATAAACTGCAAACAAATGTTTTTAAAGACTTAAATAAGTCTTGTTACCCTAATTTTTTTGGTACTATCAAACATTGAAATTTATTCTGTGGGGTGATGATTGTTGGATTGCAGCTTCTGGACCATTAGCGGGAGACACCCTCATTTTAAGAGTTTCCCAGAACCCTAGCGATTATCACTACTGTCATCAAATTTATTTTTAAAATAGCAAAAGGGTAGAGAAAACACCTATCTGCTCAGGCATGCACCTTGTATTAAATACCTAGGTGAGTCGTACATGGGTGGCAGTTCCTAACTTTTTCTGAGTTACAGAGCACTCTGACATGTGGGCACTGTCTCGTCCCCAGAAAAATAAATAAATGCAGATATTTTTAGCCGTAGTTTCAGAGGATTCAGTGAGTGCCTGAATCCCATGGACATCGGATTAAAAACCCTTGGATCTCAATGGGTTAATGTTTAAAAAAGCAAATTATAAACAGCACAGCCTTTTTCTTTCCTTTCTTTCTTTCTTTTTTTTTTTTTTTTAATGTAAGCTCTACACCAAACAAGAGACTTGAATTCACAACCCCGACATCAAGAGCCCTACATGTTCTACCAACCGAGCCATTCGGTGCCCCGACACAGTGGTTTTCAAAGAGAAACAGTCTCAGCTTTTGTGATAAGCTCAGGTTGTGTCCTGATAATGCAAAGATGTCTGTAGAAGATTTAAAGTTACACACTTTGTCAGAACATATGATTTTGCATATGAAAACTAGAGCCAAAAAAATACTTGGAAATGACATTAGATGAAAAAAAGTAGAGGGATGCCTGAGTGGCCCAATCAGTTAAGCGTCCTTCTTTGGCTCAGGTCACGATCTCACGGTTCGTGGTGAGTTTGAGCCCTGCGTTGGGCTCTGTGCTGACAGCTCAGAGCCTGGAGCCTGTTTCAGATTCTGCATCTCCCCCTGTCTCTCTCAAAAATAAATAAACAGCTAAAAAATTTTTTTCTTAAGTAAAATACAAAATTACATATGCATTAAGACTTTATAAAAATATGACTTCATCTAGGAAAGACTACAGAAGGACCCAAATCCAGAACGTTCTTGGAGAGCAGTGTTATGGTTGTTTAAGATCCTGGGTCCTGGAACCCACATGCCTAATTCTCTCTTCTGGCCCGCTTCTTACCTACCCCTATGGTGTTAGGCAATGACTTGCATGTTTTGTATCTTGATTTCGTCATCTCTGAAATGTTGTTGAGATAGAAAGAGGTAACGTGTGGTAGGTAGTGAGCACATTGTAGCGTGCATGGTGGTCAAATGTTGGTCCTGTTGTCTTGAGGAGACTTCTTTTTTCTTAAGTTTAAGTGTCACGTGCTATCACTACATTTTTTTAAAAGGTGTATTAATTAGATACTCAGGCACCAGGGGCGCCGGCTGGCTCCATCTGGCAGAGTGTGCTACTCGCGATCTTGGGTCCTGAGTTCAAGCCTCCTACTGAGTGTAGAGATTACTTAAATGAACAAATAGAATACTCAGTCACAAACAGAAAGAGACTTGAAAGTTTTGTTTTGGTAATTCTTAATTATCAACAACAACTCAGGCATACCTTCATCTAAAATCTCTTATTTATTTTTTTAAGATTTTACTTTTAAGCAATCTCTACACCCACTGTGGGGCTCGAACTCCCAATGCTGAGCTCAGGAGTCACACGCTGCACTGACTGAGCCAGCCCAGCACCCCTAAAATCTCTCTAAACTCCCGATACGGGGATGCCTAGGTGGCTCAGTCAGTTGAGCGTCCGACTTCGGCTCAGGTCATGATCTCACGGTTTGTGAGTTTGAGCCCCTTGTCGGGCTCTGCGCTGACAGCTCAGAGCCTGGAACCTGCTTCGGATTCTGTCTTCCTCTCTACTCCTTCCCTACTCACGCTCTGTCTCTCTGTCTTTCTCTCTCTCTCTCTCAAAAATAAATAAACATTAAAAAAAATTAAACTCCCGATATGTATAAAAATGCCTTAATGAGCACCTACTATAATGTAGAGCCCCTTGCTCAGTGACCTGTGTCTGGCTTGAATCTGCAGATGAAGCTACTGAATCTTTACATCAAACGCGCACAGACAGGCTCTGGGGGAGCTGATCCCGCCACCGATGTTTCTGGACAAAGTTAGTAAAGCCGACGAAGCGAGCCAGGCCTCTCCGAGAAAGGACAGACAGACCACCCCCCGTCAGTGAAAGGAAATATTCAAACACATCTTTTGGAACTTCCCATCTTTTCCCAGTTTTAGTTTTTTGTTTTGTTTTGTATTTTCTGTAACAGAGGGCTCTCCTCGGTCTGCATGTAACTTTTCTGGTAGTTATTCCAAATTCAAGAAGCAGCAGTATTAACATCGGTTGATCAATACAGAGTAATTTTTAATCGAATTCATCATTTCACGCGTTTGTACTTCTCTGTCTTCCCATTAACCTTTGCCAGTGTTACGATTGTATAAATTTTTTTAAATGCTGGTTAAAGAGGAATGCTTAAAGCTTTAAAAGTTTAACAGTCTAAAAAAACATGTTTTTTTGCCTCTATTCAAATGCAGAATAATATTTTGATTGCTACTTGGAGTTTTGTTCTGTATCATGTCCTGTGCTAGACATACTGAAATGACGTGAAACGAAGCGGGACGCATTTGAACCCCGGCTGGGCTCTGTCAATGTGCCGGTGACCGTGTCATGACTTGCGACTTCTGTGAGGTGACCTGTAGCTGAAAAGCGAGGCCTCAGAGAGAGGGAGTGCTGCAGAACGGGGCAGTTCTGTGACCCCAGCGCCGCTGGGGGTGGCTGGTCTTGCCGTCTTTCTTCAAAACCATGTCCCCCTACGACCCCGTAAGAAAGCTGCACCAAATCATCTGTCTGTTGTTTTCCTGACACTTATTAAAACAGAAGGTTTTATTGCAGGGTTTTTGGTTTGTTTCTCTTTGTTGTGAATGATGCTTTTTTCGTATTTATTAATATCAGATTCACCTATGAATAAACTTGATGGAAAGAGAAAAGCAAATCCAGTGCATGTGTGTCCTTGACCGTCTTCTGTTTCTCATTTAGTAAACACACTTCTTACCGAGACGCGGGAGTCAACCAGCACCTTGTCTTTAAGCGGTGGCACCCGGCTTCCTTTTACCGTGAAATTGTCTTACTTGAAAACATTGATCCTGATGAGAGAGAAGACGGCGCAAGGCTATGATCTCTGTGTGATGGACTCCAACTCTCTACCTCTTCAGGGCTGATGCTTTTAACTGAGATGCTGCCTACAGTGTCTCTCGGGAAACTACTGCAAGGGTGATTTTCTGTTACGTTTTAACAAGGTTTTTAAATCACCTTTTGCTACACCTGTTCTTTTCACGTGCAGCCGACTTTCAACAATGACCAGTTTGGTGAAAGGCAGGTTAGATCATTTGGGACAGGACACTAAGGGTTCTCACCTTGGCTTTTTTCTTTTGTAAATCCTAACGTAAAGTGAGTTTGACTGGAAAGGCAAACAGCTATTAGGGAAGCGCTTTGCTGTTATTACAGAGTTATCTGTACTTTCTTCGTGTGACTGAAAACATGTAGAAATGTATGTAAAGAATTTAAGACCAGAGTACTGGATGGATGGTATGTCCTAGGCTTTTCCCTCTGTTTCTGTTCTAGCAGCAGGAAAATAGTTTCTCCATATCCCCACCCCTTTACCCGTAACAATTTTGTTTTCTGCTGTTAATTACATTGTGTATTTATAGTCCTACGCTTACTGTCGTGCATATACTGGCAATAAAACTGTACATAACATGACTTGAAAAAATTAACAATGTACAGCAGTTGTTTTTCTGTCTCCCTGTGTGACAAGTCATTTAGCTCCTAACTAAGTTTTCAAAAATATTTTGACGGTCCTGTGTCAGTGGTATTCCCATGAGTTTTATAAGTACATCTGAGGAGAAGAGATTTATCAGGAGTAGCATCCACATAGAGCTGTATATGCATGTATATGTAACATCATTTATCTTTAAGAAGAAAAGGCATTTGAAACATTGAATTCTTCTCAGTAATGTTTTTTTCCATAACCTTTGGTATGTTTTATAATCATTTTTAATCTAATAGTTTAATCTTGACCTCTCCTTTGAGATACTGCTTTAACTGCCATTGACAATTCAATAGTGTGACGTAAGCCGAATAATAACTCTCCTTGAAAACTTAGATCAAGAACCAGGCATCTAAAGGCAGGCGCTCAAATGAATGAACTGAGTGATGAAAGAGTATGGTTTAATGTGACTAAGTGAAAGCTAATAATATAAAAACATGGAAAAAGTCGTATTTAAAATTATATAATTTCAGGGACGCCCAACCGGCATTGTCAGTAGAGCATGCAACTCTTGATCTCGGGGTCTCGAGCTCGAGCCCCGTGTTGGGTGTAGAGATTACTTTAAAAAACAAAAATATATATATACACATATAAAAAACAAAAGTATATAGTTTCAGTTAATGAGGCTTTAAGAACGTTATTATTGACTATGCAAATTTGTTCATTCCAGAAACGTATTTAGATGTCAGCTAGTAGAGAATGGTGGTGAATGAGCTCCTGGGTAAATTGGTAAATTTCTTCTTTCTGCTTTTCTCCCTATATGTTATCAGTATCATTCATTTACAGCACTGCTCAGAACTAAAAGCACATAAGTGCAGATTATAAACCATGTTTGTTTCTTGTGTTTTCAAAATCTAGGATCGGTTTCTGCGATTTTCAAGTAACATGTGGTTTGAACATGAGGTTTCAAATTTACAGTGTGTTTACTGCATTCCTTCATATTCTGTCTTACAAACTTTGGGTCAAAATGACTTTTCACCAAATATGTCTCACAATAAAATACTGGAAACATATCAGGCCAGATCTGTTTGTAAATTCAAATGAATCTTATAATTATTAATTTACAGTCCATAGAAATGAGGCTCAGTATATTGTTCCATAAAAATGAGGGCTCTTTAAAACTTTGACATCTCTGCTTCCTGGGTTGTTTGGGTTGTTTCGTTGGGATTAATCAAATACGGTTTCACAGCTATGCAAAAGAAAGAAGCTTTAAAAAGCATTTAAAAAGTCATGCACCTCTGGAGAGTAGAAACAAATTATAAAGGAACTAATAGAACAGAACAATGAAACCAGGAAGTGGTCCTTTGAAAAAATTAATAAAATTGATAAACCTCTAGACAGACTTATCAAGAAAAAAGGACTCCATAAAATTGCAAATGAGAGAAGAGAAATAACACCAGAGAAATGTAATATGAAAAACGACTGCCAACAAATTGGACATGGTTACAAGAAATGGTTAGATTCCTAGAAGCATAACCCACCCAAATGGAAGCAGGAAGAAATAGAAAACATTGAACAGACTGATGACCAGCAAATAAACTGAATCAGTAAGCAAAATACTCCTAACAAAAGTCCAGGACCAGAGGACTTCACAGGTGAGTTCTACCAAACATTTAAAGAAGAGTTAATACGTACTTTCAAACTATTCTGAAAAAAAGAAAAGGAAATTTTTCAAAATTAATCTGTGAGACCAGCATTACTCTGATCCGAAAACCAGATGAAGACGCTACTGAAAAGAACTACATACAGTTCAATATCCCTGCTGAGCATAAATGCAAAAATTCTCAATAAAATACTAGGGAACTGAATTCAATACATTAAAAAAAAATCAGTGTGTGAAGCACCTGGCTGACTCAGTGGAGCACGTGACTTTGATCTCCGGTCATGAATTCAAGCCCCAGGTTGGACATGGAGCCTACTTTTAAAAAAGGAATCCTGGGGCCCCGCGGGTGGCTCAATCAGCAAAGTGTCCCGGCTTCGGCTCAGGTCATGATCTACAGTCTGAGTTCGAGCCTCGCGTTGGGCTCTGTGCTGACAGCTCAGAGCCTGGAGCCTGCTTCTGGTTCTATGTCTCTCTCTCTCTGCCCTTCTGCCACTCACGCGCTCTCTACAAAACAAACATTTTAAAAAATGTTTTTAATAGAAAAGGGGATCGTTTACCACGATCAAGTGGGATTTATACCTGTGGTTCAATATTCTCAAATGAATCAACATAATACATCAGTAAGACAAAGGATAAGAACCACAGGGCCACATCTGTAGATGCAAAAAAAAGCATCTCACAAAGTACAACATCCATTCATGACAAAACCCTCAACAAAGTAGGTTTAGAGGGAACATACCTCAATGTAATAAAGGCCATATATGAAAAACCCACAGCTAACATCATCATCAGTGGGGAAAAAGTTTTCCCCGAAGGTCAGGAACCAGACAAGGATGTCCACTCTCACCACTTTTATTCAACATAGTACTTGGAAGTCCTAGTCACAGCAGTCAGACAACAAAAAGAAAAAGGATACAAATCAGTAAGGAAGAAGTAAAACTTTCACTATTCGCAGATGAAATGATACTATATATAGAAAAATCCAAAAGACTCCACCCAAAAACAGCTGAAACTGATGAATCCAGTAAGTCGCAGAATACAAAGTCAACTTACAGAGGGGCTCCTGGGTAGCTCGGTTGGGCATCTGGCTTGAATTTGGCTCAGGTCATGACGTCATGGTTTGTGGATTCTGCACTGACAACACAGATCGTGCTTGGGATTCTCTCCCTCATAGATGAACTTAAAAAATTAATGCACAGATACCTGTTCCATCGCATTTCTATCCACCAGTAATGAAGCAGCAGAAAGAGAAATTAAGAAACAATCCCATTTGCAATTGAACCAAAAATGGTAAGATACTATCATAGGAATAAACCTAGCCAAAGAGGTACCCTGAAAACTCAACACTGAAAGAGGAAATGTGAAGACAGCACAAAGAAATGGAAAGACATTCCATGCTCCTAGATCTAGGGAAGAATAAACATTGTTAAAATGTCTCTCCTACCTAAAGCAATCGACATACTTAATACAACCTCTATCAAAATACCAATAGCAATTTTCAGGGCTAGAACAAACCATCCTAAAATTTATAGGGAACCAACAAGGCCCCAGATGGCCAAAGCGGTCTTGAAAAGCAAAGCTGGAGGCATCACCATTCCAGTTTCCAAGTTATATCGCAAAGCTGTAGCGACCGAACAGAACGGTACTGGCACCAAAACAGGCGCATAGATCAATGGAACAGAATAGGGAGTCCAGGAATACACTCAAAATTCTATGGTCAATTAATCTTTGATAAAGCAGGGAAGAATATCCAGTGGGGAAAAAAGCCTCTTTACCAAATGGGAAAGAGACCACTCTCTAACTGAACCACTTTCTTACACCTTACAAAAAATTAATTCAAAACGGATGAAAGACCTAAATGTGAGACCGGAAACCATAAAAATTCTAGAACAGAGGCAGTAACTTACTTGATATTGGCTGTAGCAACTTCTCTCTAGATAGGTCTCCTGTATGTTAACTGGAATTTTAATAAAAAATAAAGTTATGCCCCTCTATTGTACGAATATTTGGAACATAATGAAAAACTGAAGAAAAAATGACCTCTAACACCACCACTTTGTGTGTGTTGCTATTTCGTGGGGGACTAAGATAATGAATTTGCTTTAATATGGAAAAATGTAAGGCAAAGGACAAGATTAGAATGAGTTAACATTTGAATGCTTCTGTGTTTAACACATTTTGATCTTTATTCTGTAGGATCACTTATAAGGGCAACAAGGTATTGTTTTGTATGTGTGCAGGGTGATCCTGGGTTGTTCATCTCCCCACTGAGTATTTGTATAACAACTAGCTACATCCTTGGTACACCTTTCCATAAATAGCAATTTCATATTGAAGCCATCTATAAAACTGCCCAGTACAAAATAATTGGAGATGTGCCAATAATGAGTTACTTCAATAGCTGGCTTTAAGTCATTCTTATAATAGTAATCTAAAATAGGGGCGCTTGGGTGGCTCAGTCGGTTAAGCATCGGACTTCGGCTCAGGTCATGATCCCAGAGTTGCAGGATCAAGCCCACATCAGGTTTTGTGCTGAATGTGGAGCCTGCTTGGGATTCATTATCTCTCTCTCTCTCTCTCTCTCTCTCTCTCAAATAAAAAATTAAGGGGCACCTGGGTGGCTCAGTTGGTTAACCATCTGACTTTGGCTCAAATCTTCAGATCATGATCTCATGGTCCAGGTTTTGGGTTTGAGCCCCGCATCGGGCTCTGTGCTGACAGCTCAGAGCCTGGAGCCTGCTTCGGATTCTGTGTCTCCCTCTCTGCCCTCCCTCCCCTGCTCATGCTCTGTCTTTCCATCTCTCTCTCCCTCTCCCTCTCTCTCAAAAATAAATAACCATTAAAAAAAAAATCCTTTTACTTAAGCAATTGTCCAGTGGTTTATGGGCTCCTTGAATGCTTTCCAATTAGCAGCTATTTTTTTTCATTACACACTCTCCTAGGAACTCGATGAACAGATTTTTGACTGCAGACTGGGAATTCGGGACTCCATCCCCGAGATCACCCAGCTTCTGGTAATGAAACGTGTGCGGCATCACAGTGAAATAGCCCGCGGCCCAATTCAAGTTACCAATCAAATGTATGGTTTGAGCAGCCAGCGCTGTAAAATGAGCATGACTACATTCTCTTGAAACAAATCATTGTTCAGCCAGTGCTTGGCTGCCCGTCCCGACGTCAGGCTCCGGCCTAGGCACTAAGTGGAGCATCCCTAAGACCGCGCAATAAGGGCTACACGGGCAAAATGTCAGGGAGAGAGGATTTTACAAGGTGAGGATGTGATCTCATCTTCCAAAGACTGGTCGGTGGAGCCCTCACCGAGAAGAAGGCTGAACAAAGGCGAAGGG